GATGAGCTGGTGGAGAAGCGTGATCCCAAATGTGCACTGTCACATGACCCCGCTCTACGCTCCTGCAGAGTTTCATCAGAATTCACTGAGAATTTCCGAGCTCGTGTTTAGCGACAGAATGACACAAGCGCTGCTGGTGGGCGTGACTACTCCCACTTCACTTCTACCCCTCGGACACTTCACGAGTGTGTCACAGTGAACATGAAATAATTCAGGAAGTCGACTGGACCTGAGAGCATAAATGAATACTGAGAAAACACGACTGGTCATAAAATCACTGATGATGATCCAACCAAAACATCTGCTCGACTGACTGATCCTGTCACTGCACCCACAGTGCTTCAGCCGGAGCTGCACAGCACACTGTCAGCGACCCAGCGCGGCCCAGCGTACCCTGTACATGCTGACGTTCCTGCCCTGCTCCACGTTCCTGACGGGGACTCCGGCTTCTTTCAGTCGGCCCTCGAAGCCAAAGCTGCAGCCCAGATAGAAACACACCATGTCCGACCACGACCCGGGACGCTCCGCCTGCTGCCCGGGTGGAGACCTGCGAGGCAGAGGGAGGCTGATCACTGACTGTTATGCTACAGGAAACAACAGGTGAGGCAGGAAGCAGCAGCTTGTGTTTGTGCTTTAATGTCGACTTTTCAGTGAAAGCAGCACGGAGGAGCTGGTGTAGAGTAATTCCTGGGATACAAGCTGAAAGCACGTTTAGATTTCAGGACAGATCCTGCCGGAGACGTCGCTATGCTTTAACCAGAGCCCATTTCAACAGTAAGTTATTACCAGGACGCAGTCACAGCTGAGGCTCAATGATTACCCCGACTCATGTTCAACATTACCTGTGTGCGTCACTGTACGTCTGCAGGCTGGAGACGGTTTTCACCAGCCGACCATCCTCATACACACAGTACTGCGAGATGTCCGTCCTACAGGAAACACAACCAGGAAACACTCGATCAGGAAAAATAAAACAGACACAGTCGGAAAGCTCCGCCCTTCGTTGGAGTCAGACGGGTATAGGGCAGAAAAATAAGAACTCTGTGAGCCCTCAGGCTTCTGGTCGATGCACCCGTGGTGTCACAGCACCTGCCGGCCCAGCCACCGTCCTCTCAGGCTGAGGGGTGTCCGAAACAAACATCCACCAAACCGTCTGTCTGGTCTGGCGTCTGTCTCTTCCTGCTCGCTCCTCTCAGTTTGCAGAAAAGAAGTTCAATCATTTCATCACATCAGGATCAAACACCTTCTTCTTTGTTCCAGCTTTTCTGAATCAAATTCAAAATGAGCAGATTTTATAATGTGATGTGCTTGTTTTCTGAGTAAACTCTGCTCTCGCCTCACAGGCGAGCGCTCCAAAGGTTACTGAGAGTCCGCAGGAGCTTTGTGCTGCATGGAGAACGATGTGAATGGACTCAGGAAACGTCTGTGATTTAAAATCATCGGCTCACAGAATCAAACGTAAACCTTCTGCAGCACGTCTGAGAGGACAGGAAGTCCTACCTGATGTCAGCGTGCTGAGCCAGAGGCGGACAGGAAGTCTCTCCCGACTGGCTGCGATAAAGGAGCGGCAGGGGGGCGGGGTTACTGCGACAGAAGGCATGGAAGTCATCGGCGAGCTGGTTTGGCAGGACGACCACATTAGCCTGCTGGTATCCTGAAACACACACACACACACACACGTTACAACAGAGAAAAACCAAGAAGCCCTGACCGTCCGGGCAGCTCTGCGGGATGACATCATCCTTTTCAGGCATTTCCAGAGCTCGTGGTCACCGGTTCCCGCTGAGGGCAGGAACCAATACGTCGACACCTCCACCCTCGCTGCACCGCACCAGCTCCAGCCTCCACACCAACCTGTCAATCAATCTGCTCAAACTCGTCAACATGACGTGTTGGAGGCAGAAAATCCTCGCCAACCCGGAGCGAGCACTCCACCCTTTTTCAGACTCGGAGCAGCCGTTTCTCATTCCTGCTGCTTCACCCTCGGCTGAAAAGCAGCCCAGAGGAAGCTGGAGGCTGCCAGTCAGCGAAGCCAGAAGGACCACATCCTGAGGACCCCAAACCCTCCACCGCCTGGCTGAGTCCAGCATGCACCTGACCTGATACCCCATACACCCCCCAGACACTCTGGGAGACACGTCCACAACACTCATGGATACTAGCTGAGGATGACTCGAGAGTATACATGTTTACTGTTAGAACAAGCTAACGTTCTTACTGGACGCTAATTCGCTAAAGCAGCTCCTTTACTAAACCAACAAATCAGCAGAAATTTCACCTCTAAGCTGTCCCGAGTCTGTCCTAAGCCTGTCCAGTTCAGATGATCTCTTACCGTTGGCTAATCCTGTTGTGGTCTTTATTCTGGGGTCTTTCTGCCGGATTAACTGCCTCAGATTAGCAGGACTCAGATTATTTAAATGTTCCGACTTGATCATCTCACACACAAGCATGTCAGTGAGCTGCTTCCTGTTTACCTGTCACGGAGCAGGAGGGGAAAGGCCCGAGAGAACAATGATCTGCTCTTATCTGCTTCACCACAGTTAATGTTTGAGCGAGCAGCAGTCGATGAAGTTAATCTTTGAAACACTCCAGACTTTAAACCCCACTCACTCTTTTTCCTTCCCTCACTGCTCTCCTCCATCAGTGTTTTCTTTTGTGTGTGTGCGCGTGTATCACCTGTGTCCATGGCAGAGGTACGGATACCCCTGAGGTATCTGACGGCGCACCGAGCAGCTCTCACTGCAGACAGCATCCTTCTTCACCTAAACGTTAAAAAATGTCATGAGTAACCTGAGGAATAGGCGAGCTGTCTGATTGGTTAATTCGCTGGTGAACAGCCAATGAAATATAATCTGTGGTAACACTTTGTGTACTTAGATTCAGACGCTTATTTATGTGAAACTTCCTAAACTGTCAGGACAGCAGAACATTGGTGTAGATGAAGCTGAGAGCAGGGATCGAACACCTGCCAGGTGAGGATTCATCAGGGTAACCCGCTCTGCTCGCTCCCGCTCATCTCCAACCATCACAGCAGGTCTCACTGCCACCTTTAAACCTCCTCCGGCACTCATACTGCTCTCCTTCTCCTCTCCTCCCTGCCTGCACTCACCTCTTTGCAGAGGTGACGCCACCCGTCTATCACCACTGCAAACAGGAAGTGGCTCAGAGACCACCTGACAGTAAAGTTCAGGCTACACTGATCCGATACTTTGCACAAAATCAAAACTATTATATATCAAATTATACCTTCATGATGAATACAAGACATCACACTATTATTCCTCTTGTTTAATTATGAAGAATTATCTTACAAGGAAAAACTAAACCTGAAAAGTCAATACCCACATATTAAAATCTTCAATTAAGATTGAAAAAGGGTCAGGGTCCAGGAAGGGGTCAGAGCTAGGGTCAGGGTCCAGGAAGGCCGCACGCTTTCAGTGGGAGAAACATTTCGTCATCATCAGGTTTCGACTTTATAAACAGAACTTGTGCTCAATGGCTGACACTAGCACCCCTGACTCACAACGGGCTGTGAGGTCAGTTTATGATCAATGATATGCAAACTGTGATTGATCATTGATCGGCTATGACAGTGATCTTTGATCTGTCTATATAAGGTTGGAAACCTGCAGTCAGCTGAGACTGAAGAAGTCAGCTGGACGAGTTTCTCCCACTGTACACTACATTAAACATAGAAACTTCTATTTTAATATGAAAATCTCCGCTCGGAGGGAGCAAAGCTGACCGTTAAGCTAACGGTCCTAAAGTCCCTCCGACAGTGTGATTAAACTCACGGTGTGACGGTTTATCCGCGGAGTGTCGGGGTCGGTGATGACAGCTCCACAGGCTAACAGCTGCTAACAGCTAAGTCCGGGGCTGCAGCCTTCGAGGGCCCATTACGTCACAGCGAGGCGACGAAGGTTACTCCAGTGCCTCTGCGTCCTCAGTTTCCCGGATTTCAAGGACGTTGGCTGTGTCCATGTTGTCCCAATTCACGGTCTGCACGCTTACCGCGGTAAAGTGAGCCGTCATTTGTGAGCCGCGGTCAAGCCAGCCGCCTCTTATCCGCCGCATAAATTTCCTTGCGCTTTTACACCAGTCTTTACCGTAGCGCCTTTTCGCTTTATATCCTGATTGAAAGCCTATACTCGCGCACACGTGCGCGCGCGAACAGTCACACGCACACGCGCGCACACAAATTACAATGGAACAGCCCAATACAGTCAATACAATTATGTCTATTTCAGAAATTCATTAAAAATCATCCTTAGTAGTTGAGGTCCAACTTTCAACACATCCCTCCGCTAGGACACCTACTGTACCTGTGTGCCAAGTTTCAGCCAGATTCACTGTAAAATTCCTCAGAAATTAATGGAAACTTCTATTCAATACAATACAGTCAATACAATAGGATTCTCTCAATTTTCAAAAATTCATTAAAAATCATCCTGAATAGTTGAGGTACAACTTTCAACACATTCCTTCTCTGGGACACCTACTGTACCTGTGTGCCAAGTTTCATCCAGATTTACTGTAAAATTCCTCAAAAATCAAAGGACATTTATATGCAATTCAATACAGCCAATACACTACAATTATGGAAATTTCAAAAATTCATTAAAAATCATCCATAATAGTTGATGTCCAACTTTCAACACTTTCTTACTCTGGGCGTCCTACCGTACCTCTGGGCCAAGTTACATCTCAATTCACTGTAATCTTTATCAAAAATTGAAAGAACAATTATATGTCAATGCTGGATGTGTGTCCTTTCAAAGTGACACTAATTAACAGAACTCAGGCACATCAGGGAATAATCCAAAAGGCGGATTTATTAAACAAAAACAACATACAAAATATCTCTAACCCATACTACATAACCTAAAAAGAAACAAAGGGACACCTAGAAGCACAAGAAAACAATACTGAAAGGGCAAGAGACACAGTCCAAACATAATCCACAACTAAAACGCCAAAAGAACAAGTCATCCCACATAGCAGACGGGTCTTGCCTGGATCTGGTGTCAAGCCGGCACTGCTGGCTGACTTCTGGCATGGTAAGATGGCACTGTTTATGTGATGGCATGCCACATTTGGCCTAATTGGGTGAATGTGACATGTTGTATAGAGCACTTTGAGTAATATGGGTGAGTAAAAAAGAAGAGAATGAGCGCTTTTAACAAATAATTATCTGAATCTTACAACAAACGTTTTCATCTGATGTAAAATTCATAGAAATCCATTATAGTAATTTTTTTCAAATTCAAATTCAAATTTTATTTGTCACACACACACACACACAACCATACACAGTATGACATGGGGATGAAATGCTTGTAGCTGTACAATACCCAACCATTAAATGACAGAAAAAAGTTTTACAGTATCTACAATTTACAGGTTACTACAAAATTTAAAAAATTAACTTAGAAATTTACAGTAAAAAATGTGCAAAAAATGTGCAAATAGCAGAAAGGGTCCCATCATAATTTCTTCAGAAGTACTAAGTACTGTATATGATGCCAGTATTTTCCCACATTTTCTAGATACTGTACCAGTACTGTGTGTAAAATGCCATCAAAAAGTCAATTGAGTTTTATTCTTTCTCACCTGTCTTTCTGTCTCCTTTCACTTTTTAAAGGTTGCCATGTTAGAAAAAATATTTTGCCCTGCCATGCTGTTTATTGATGTGGCAAATGAATAGTTTATGAAAATATATCTAAATCTGTCATCAGTAATCAGTAATGATCATGTCTCACCTCTAGTCTTCTCTGTCTTAATTTCAGGTTTTCACCATGTGTTGTAGAGAGTTCAGGAGGTTAACTCGACCAAGCAGTCTGCTTCCAGGTACTGTTTAGAATACCAGAATAGGGAGGATGGTGTAGGTTTAAGTTTATTAGACTGATACATATATACCAACAACACAGTGTACATCACTGTGACAACAGCGTTTGTTTTCATTCAAAGGCTTTATGGTTTTTCCTATAATACCTGGTGGGCTGGTCTCTAGTCAAAATGCCCGGGACGATTTTTTACCGCGGTAAAGTGAGCCGTCATTTGTGAGCCGCGGTCAAGCCAGCCGCCTCTTATCCGCCGCATAAATTTCCTTGCGCTTTTACACCAGTCTTTACGGTAGCGCCTTTTCGCTTTATGTGCCGATTGAAAGCCTATACCCGCGCACACGTGCGCGCGCGAACAGTCGCACGCGCCGCATGCGTGCACACAAATTACAATGAAACAGCCCAATACAGTCAACATAAATTATGGAATTTCAAGAAATTCATTAAAAATCATCCTGAGTAGTTGAGGTCCAACTTTCAACACATCTCCTCCTCTGGGACACCTACTGTACCTGTGTGCCAGTTTCAGCCAGATTACTGTAAAATTCACTGCAGAAATTAAAGGACATTTATATGCAATTCAATACAGCCAATACACTACAATTATGGAAATTTCAAGAAATTCATTAAAAATCATCCATTATAGTTGAGGTCCAACTTTCAACACATTCTTCTCTGGGACTCCTACTGTACCTCTGGGCCAGGTTCATCTCAATCTGCTGCATCAATAATTGTTTAATATTGATGGATCAAAAGTGCTGCTGAGAGAGTCATGACAGGGACTATAAAGAGACAGCATATTTGCTTGTCTTCACTGACTCGCTTTGAAATCCAGATTTTAATTTTGGAATATTAGGTGTACTTGTGGTTCCTATAGAATTTTAAGGTTGAAAGGAATCAGAGTCTTCATCTCTCAGGCCTCTCTTCTGTGGATGCAGCTCACATCATTCTGTACAATACGATAATTTTTAATTCTACAACTGTTTATAACCTGCATAGTTCACATTTCTGTATAGCTGTATATCTCATATTCTGTATAGTTTTTCATATTTATATCCTGTACATAGCCTGTACATAGATTGTACTCACTACAGCCTGTACATACTTATAGTTATAGCATATTCATAACTTACTTCATACCATGTACATTATAACATACCATAATAGACCCATTTCTGTAATATACTTACATACCTATATTATTGCTAATATATATTGTAATACATCTATTACAATATATACTTCTTGATGGATGCAAACTGCATTTCGTTGCCTTGTACCTGTGACATGTGCAATGACAATAAAGTTGAATTCTATTCTATTCTATTCTAAATTAATTCAGAAGACAAACACCCGTCTCTGCTTTTGAGATTAGCATTAAAACCCTCAGTTTTGACAAATAATACAGTTATAGTGGATCAGGTGACCCTGAATCTTCCCTTATTTGTGCTGCAATAAGCCTAGGACGCCCCTAGAATCCCCCCCTCCAGGGGCGGGGGCACCTAGACCCGGTTTGTAGAGTACGCTTGGGGAGTGTGATCGTGTGTACAACGTCTCTTTATGTCTGTCTCCACGTTGGTTGAGTGTGGAGTAAGTGCATTTGAGAGCATGAGGGTGGGAATGGATGTTTGTATCTGTGTGTGCCTGTATGTCTGTGTCTATATGTCAGGTTGGGTGTCAGGCGCCACCTCTCTGGGGACATCTCAGGCCCTCCAAGGTTTGGAGGCCTATCTCCCCCTACCACCACTTCCCCTGCCAGTGGCGGACCCCCTCAGACATCGGTGCGTTGGTGGTTCTTTGTGTCCGGGGATGGGCGTCCAGGTACACACCGGCTCACTCCTTGGCGGCCGCTTATCGGGGCCTGGAGCCTGGGGCTCGCTCGGGCCACTTCGGAGGTGGGGTGCCCCCGGCCTCTCGGCCTGGGGCTCGGTCACTCAGGCGCAGCTGGCTGCCGGCGGAGCTCACGGGCGCGTCACTGCAACCCCCCTGGCTTCTGCTCCGCGGCTGCTGAGTGAGCCCTCATCTGGGACTCTCCTCAGCTCTTTCTGGGACAGTGGCGCGGCTGCCCCTCTGTTGGTCTTCCTTGGTCTCTTGTGTTCTGGGGGCCTCTGGATGTCTGGAGTTTTGATCTCCTCCATACCTGCTTCATGCCCTGGAGGACGGGGCTGTGGCCCCCCCACACCCTCTAGCAGATCATTACATGAAGGAACCTTTTAAAAAAAAAACAAGCGCGTCCATGCTCACAGGTGTACACACGGGTGATCACACCCACAAACTACACCCTTTTTGGCTCCTACCTCAAAGCACACTGTGTTCTGTTGATCTTATGTGCTGCACAATAATGTTTAATATTTAGTATTTACTGTCATATTCCCATATATCATTGTGATGTTGTTTATTCTATTACTCTTGTTCTCTTCTGCTTGCTTTCTTTTTTCTTTCTCAGCAGGTGATCCAGGTGATTGATATATGCATTTTTTTTTCCTCTGCCCGTTCTGTTGGTTTTTGTCTTTTGCCCTTCTCCCCCGTCCCTCTTCTCAGCTGTTTCTCTTTCCCTCTTTCTTTCTCCCCTTCTTTCCCCCAGTCAAGTCTGTCCCGTATTCAGTAAGTGAAAATAAAATAAACAATAAAAGGTGAATCAAATGGACCATTACGGCAAGGCTGGGATGGTCAGTTTGGTAAAGTAAATCCGTTGGGCATCTTTCTTTGCCTTTAGACAACAATTCTGATGGCAAAAGAGCCAAACGGGACAGGCCAAAAAAAAAAAAAATAAATAAAAATAAGCCTAGGAACGGCGGGCTTCCCATCATGTATGAATTTTTTCCTTCTTTGCTCGTTCTGTGTTTATACACCTCTCTGCATTTAATCATTAGTTAGTATGTATCTCTTGCACAGTGTATATGTTTTCCTGTCTCCTTTTCATCAACCTCAGCCAGTCACAGTAGATGGCTGTCTCTCCTTGAGCCTGTTTCTGCCAGATGTTTCTACCTCTTCAAATGGAGTTTTTCCTTCCCACTCACACTAAATGTTAGCTCATATGGGGTACTTAAATTGTTGGGGTTTTCTTTGTATTATTGTTGTGTTTTTACCCAGCAACATAAAGTGTCTTTAGGTGACTGTTGTTGCGATTTGGTGCTGTATAAATAGAATAGAATAGAATCGAATAGAATGGAATAGAATAATGTACTTCAGAATCAGAATCAGAATCAGAATGGGGTTTATTGCCAGATGTTGAGGTTTACAACATTAGGAAATTGCTGCGGTGCTTCAGTGCAAACAATAAGAATTAAAGTGCTATGTAG